TTGATCGATAAACCTTCAGAAGCTCTCCATAAATCGTATCATAAAAGTCTTAAAGCTAAATCCCTTATTAATCTTACGTTAATACTAATTTTTAGTAGTTAGTATCGTAAGATAACACTGATATGATTTAAATTAAAATAAATTTACATAATAAAAATTTTTTCTATTAACATTTTTCTGAGATACAAATCTTTTTGCATCAGATTATAATTATAAATAAAAATTTAAAATTCTAAAAAAATATATACTGTATAAATTAAGTTTTTTTTTATAAATAAATATAATATAAATATAAAATATAATTAAAATTATAATTATTATCTAAAAAAATTGAGTTAAAAGATTAATAACTTAGTATTTTATTTTTTCTTTATGATTTTTTTTTTTTTTTAATATTTTAAAATCAATTTTTTCAATTGGTAAAAATTTATCTAAAATTTGATAAATTAAAGCATAATAAATCTTATAAAATTTTAATACTTTATGAAATCAAAACTTTTGTTAAAGATCAATTTATTTTATTATTGATTTATAAAAAATAATATTATTAGGATCTGTATTTAAACATAAGTTAAAGTTAAATTATTTTATATATAAAATGTGTTTTAAAAGAAAAAAAAATTGTAGAATGCTTTTTTACTCATTTCTATCCTTTTTATTTTATAATTATAAAGCAAAAAAAAATTACACAAATCTTACTTTTTGTAAAATTTTTGAAATTATTGCAGGTTCCTAGAAAATTTTAATGTTTATTGCATTTCATTTTTGATGGCAATAAGGTTATAATTTTAATCAAAAAATTTTCAGAACCTGATTTTCCATTTATATAAAAAAAGGTATAAGGGTTAATATATAAGATAAGATTAGAATTAAATATAGGCATTAAAGGAAGTTCTTTTTTTTTAATTTATTTGTAAAATAAAAAGTAAAGTGCATAATTTCATATTATCGAATAAAATGAACTTAATAAAATAATAAAAAAAAACCCCCCCATTGCTAACTTGCGTTATCGGTGTCGGTTTTGATAACGCAGTTCGCCAATATATCGACTCCTTCTACCCAAGGATCGCGTGATGAAAAAAAAAATTAACAATTAATTTAATAAAATAATAAAAAAAAATATTATATATATAAAATGATACATTAATCAATCTTTAAAAGGCTTGCTGCTATTTATCGGAATTTGCATTATATAATATTATAAAATTGAATCTACAAAAGGATTATCTATCAACTTATACCTCAAAGTTTAGCTTATGAATTAATTATTATTTTTTATGTTCCTAAAAGGACGACAATATGTAAGAAATTATCAGGATAACAAAGGTTCTGTGATGCCCAGATGATGGGAATATTTAATTGCGGAATAACACCATGAATAACGGGAGCGGCGAATGCATTTTCCGTGGGTAGCGAAGAAGGAAATAGATCTGGAAGGATTTGATGCAACACTTCACCTAACGTAAGTGGATTACCTATATAAAAGCATCAAACAAATTGATTAACATGAAAATACGATTTAAGTTTCGGACACGAAAAAAATTATCTCAAGAAAAAATTTTCACTTGCCATTCTCATCTAAAGGGGCAATTGGCTCTTGTATAACCGGACAGTTATCAGGTAAATATATCCGTAATGGTATATGTCTCGGTGATTGACCATCGTTGATAACGAGACGATAATTTACACTCCAGAAACGATCATAATTCTCTGTACGATATTTTTGCGAAGAACCTTAATACGGTTAAAGAATAACAGTTTCTAAGATTTGAATGTATAAACATTTTTTGTTTTATAATTTTTTTTGTTAAAAAAAAAGCAAAAGGATACTGGACCATAACCCATCCCAAAGTTGTGTCTGATCATTTTTCGATAAATTCATAACTTTCTTCGTACTACCGTTCCGAAGAAAATCAGCCTTTAAATACATACAAGTCAATCTTTAAATTTTTTTTTTTTAAAAAAAACAGACTTTGAAATTGAATTAGTCTTACCTCCTTGATCATTGACATGAAAAAATCCTGAGTTGCATCAATTGCCTGAGCACGTATCAATTTATCCAAGGGGAAATTCTTGAAATGGACGGTAACTGGCCATGGTAAAGGTGGTGGGCTGTTAGAATCAGGTCGATATCCGGTATGCAAGTCAAATAAAAGACCTATCGGGTAATGCCTATAATTAAAAAGGGCAATTAATTTAATACGATCGGAAGAGAAAGTTTTCATTCGGGCTAAAACCTACCATTTAAGCGGGATGCCATCGACGTCATACCAAATTTCCGCGTCGTCACCGATAAAATTTAAAGCCATGTCTACAAAATATTTTCTTATTTGACTCGTTAATAAGGGAAAGTATGAACATCGTGGAGCTTCTATCTGTCACGATTTATCATCCAACGGGAAAAAAAATCATTAATCATCAAATAAAATTCTCGAGAAAAAGATCAAGTATCAAGAAACGCAAACTCACAAAATAAGGCTCTACCAAGATTTTGGCACCTAATTCTGCTGCCTCCGTACCATCAAGAGAGAACTTTATAGGTAGGGTACCATCCCAAATAGCTCGAGTAATAGGATTTTGTGGTGCTGTCATTATTTCTCTATGCTTTCGAATAAATATATCAAATCCAAAAAGTAAACCGCCAAATAAATTTAACCTAACTGTCGTGGATCGAATTGTTTTTATATATGGTAACATCATGTGCGTCTATTTTACTCATGTGATCGAACAAATCGACGTTTTAAGTTTCACCTGGCAGTAAGTTCTTTTGATTAAAACTTTTGCTGCGACAGGTTATCTTGTCAAAATTGAAACTTTAGGTCGAAAAGTTCCTTACTTTTCAACTTTTGAACTGCGAATAGTTTACCAAGCAAACTTTTTGATTTATTAAACGTATTATTTTAGACAATCTCTTGAATTCCACAAATAATGGCTCTACTCATAATACCGCAACACTTTCAAAATTTGCTTTGACACTGGTATTCTTTACCTCAACGAACCCGTCTTGCTCACTTAGGTTCTGCAGAAGTTCCAATTACTCGATCGAAAAAACTCATTGGGAGGGAGGCTATGCTACAAAAGCATTCCCGTAACAAAAGTCGAGATGGTCCTAATGATACTTTTAAATTTACAAGCAAATTGAAAAATACAAAGCTATTCAACAAAAACTCGAAGCTCAAATATCCAAAACTCCAAAAATTTCACCAAGAATATTAAACCAGATTTTCAGTGATCACTAACGAACACTGCAAGCGGCAAGATTATGAAATTACAAAGATAACCGCAACTGATGCAATCTCGACTAATAGCACTTGAAAAACTCCGACGTAATATAAAAAATGCTACAGATCGTTTTAGTAATGGTAATGAACAACGTTTGTCAGAATTAGAGAATTCTTTGAGAGTCACGTTCCAAATGTGAGAAATTGTATACATGCTCTAATTGAGAAAGATAAGATGACAAAAGAAAGAAATGATATGAGAAAGCGAGTAAGAATTACAAGAGACAAACATATTATTTTGATTTAAATCTTCTTATATTTTTATATTCTTAACTACTTAGGTTCTTGCGAAAAATGTGAAATTTATTCGCCAAATTTTCGAGCATTAATCTATTTAATTTATTCCATCTTTTAATTATAATATGTATTTTTAGCATACATAGTTCATTTATGTAGTATAGAGTACATATAGAAAAATAAGAAAAGTAGAGGAAAAATCAAAACCGATATTAATTTTACATTAAAAATAATATATTTTTACCCAATATATATGGTATATGTTGAGATATTGTAAAATAATCCGTAATGTGATATCACTCATATTGGATGATAAATAAAAAAAAATTGTTTTTCCTAAAATTTTTTTGCGTTTCAAAAAAATGGATATTGAGCAGATAATAGAAAAATTGAACCATGCAATAGAAGAATTGGAGACATTTTATAATAAAAAACAGGAAAGGTTAGATGAGTTGCTACTGAAGATGGCTAATGGAGAAGAGGGGAACGATCACCAGAAAAAATATTGGGGAATTATGATAGATGAGCTTAGGGAAGAAAAAGCAAGGTTGAATGATCTCGAGAATTTTTTGATGGGCCAGGTGAAATATTATCAAAACAAATTATCAGAATTTAATAATAACGGTAATGAACAAATTGCGTAAAATATTTATATCTCCATTCAATTCCATTTCATTTATTATTCATTTGTATGAGAGACTTTATAAACATTTTTTTCTTTTTTTTTTAGCTGTAAAACGCAAGTCTGAAACAATATCAAGTGAAGGTAAGCTTTCTTTTTTCAATTGAGATATATCAAGATATACACTAACTAATTATTCTCAACTTGCAAAAGATGTTGATAGACGTGCATCAGATCGTATTAAGAAAGTGAAAAAGACTGCATCAGCTTTTGCTTTATCACAAAAT